GGTATTCCCTTAAATTTATCTATGTATAAAGACTAAATTACAAGTATGAGGGATAGTCAAGTAAACTCATAATTAAAGGGCAACTCCGTGCATTTAGACCTTATGTTGTTAATGTAAGAAAAGGACCATTTCATAAATCGGTCATTCCTTTTTTCCTAGTTGGGTTATCATTACTTTACCCTCTCGAACTGTAGTATTACTTTCAATTTACTTTTAATGTTATTTTTTAGGCACTTTATTCCCACCATTAAGCAAAACTAATCATTTTTCTTATATTGAAAATTTTTGGATGAAAATACCCTTTTTCATATAATTTAAAATAAATCACAAAGTTGCAAACTTTATCTCTTTTCCCTCTTTTTGTTTTTTCTGGTGATAATCAGAGTGCAATAAAATTTTTTTAAAAAAAAAGAGAGAAGAACCTTGTTGATTTTTTTTCTTGGTTAAAAAGAATTAGAAAAATGGTGAAGTACCATTACAAATTATTTATTATTATTGTATAATAGAGGAAGGTAGTGTCCTCCAAAACCTTTCTATGTACTGAGTTGGTTAAACGTTCTGATAAAGTGTTTAAAAGATAACGTAAATGGTACTCTATAGGAGTACTTTTAAGGGGATAACAAATCTAAGAGTTAAAGCATGTCTTGAACTAAGTTACTAAACTCTTACGTTTGGACTTTGGACTGCTAGTTTTGTAGGTAGAAAGCCTAAAACTTAACGTTAGGGGAAGCTGATTGTATCACTAAATGTTAGGGAATAAAAAGTAATAGTAATAACCCTTCCTAGTTCGATATTTTTTCTGCAAAAAATTATTTTCGAATTCCTCCACTTTTCTCCCACTCCTGGGGGCTAGGTGTGGCTGCTTCCAAGTACTCTCGGTCCCCTCCCTGTCCAGCCCACTTGGGCACCGAATTCAGAAGCGGGTCACATTGCACGAGCTAAATTACAAGCCTAGGTACTGTTTAGGTGTTATAGTCATATATACGAGTTAACTCGTTTCCATGGCTTTAAAGATATGCCAAGTCAGATTCAGAGGAAGATATGCCAAGTTCTAACTCGTTCATTTGAAAGGTACTTTGACTAGCAAACTCGAAACGTTGCAATTGTTTGGTCAAAGTGTGAAGAGAAGTTTCAATCCTTGTTCTAGCTTTTGGAGTAGGACGGCCAGAGGTGCCGGTAACCGCCCTGTCCAGGCAAACATATTTGGTAGACATCAGTAGCACTTGGTAGATCAGCACAAATTCCCATACTTTTATACATTATAAGAACAAATGATTTTCAAATTTTCAGTTCAAAAAACCCACAAAATTTTATGAACTTAACAACCTAAACTTCTGGTAAAGTTGAGGTGTTTCCTTCTTGAGTTCTCAGTTTTCATGCAATAGAATACTTCCTTTCCGTCTCTGGACTCGTTTATTATGGCAGTAGTAACATATTTCAGATGCCGTTGCCGGGAGGATTTTAGTTCTATTACACTTTGACATAACTATATTTCGGGTTCATCTTTCAAAATCAAGTAAGCTTTATGTCTATAAATAGTCGAAACCTTGTCCATGTAGAGTTAGCTATGCTGGTTGCACAATGTCCCCATCTCAAAAAAATTGAAAAAACAGATCAGTGGGCTGTAATTCTAACCAGTTACATACGTCCAAAGCCGGAATTTTCTTGATTCTGGAATTGGCTTCCCTTAGTTTCTCATCAGCCACGTGCACAGCTTGAATGGAAACGCACCCTGAATAACTAACCTTGTTTGGATCTCTATTTTTTCTCAAAAAATTTTTTTAACACATTTTTCAACCATTTTAATATCTTACATTAAGGTTGATTGCGAGTCTAGCCGCTGGCTATAGCCCGCAAGCAGTTCAATAAACCACTCGACTTGAGCCTGAGTTCGAGTAGCTCGAGTGGGGATGCAAGTCGAATTTCAAGTTCGAATATATGGTACTCGAGTTCAACAAGCTACTCGCGAGTATTTTTTAATTTAAATAATATATATTTTTAATTATGAAATTATCATTAAGCGTTTATGTTTCAGTTAATTTACAAGCTGGTTTGCATACACTTAATTAAATTTTTTAATGGCAAAAAAGTAATAACATAATTGTTAGAGCCACGTCGAGTCTAGTTCGAGTTGTTTTTTTTTTTTTTTTTTTTTTACATTTTTTGGAGTCAAATTTGATCCTCCATTTCCTAGCTCGATCAAGTTTGAGTTCGAGTCAAGTAGTGTGTGTCAGCACTGTCTGAGTCAAGCTCGAGTATCGATTTGTATACATTCATATCTTGCATATGTCAAATCGTTATATAGTACATATTTTTGGACAAAAAACTCGAGAAATTAGCACTCCAAACAGAAAGGTGATCAGGAAACGCACCCTGTGTCAAGTCAGATTTCTCACTGCTAATTGTCAAATATCAATCTCTTTTGCGGTTCGAAAGAAAGAGACTCCAAGCCATCCGAGAAAAAAGAAGGGCTTGCAAATATTTTCAGTGACCGCGAATGATTGCCCTGATTTCATTCTGATTCGGAAGAGCAACCAAAAGTTGCAAGAAAGAGGAAAGATTTAAGAGCGAATCAAAAACAACAATCGTCCTATAGCCGCAGGCGAGGCGAGTGGAGACTGGGGACAAATGCGAAATCGATCTAATCTTTAGGTTTTACTTTTTCTCCCTCGTATCTGTGGCTGCATAGCTGGATTCTGGCCCATCATAAAAGTCTTATGAGGAATAAATGTGAGGCTGATGCTAAGGGGTTCCTGCCACTCATTATCGAATTGGCTCCAGTAAAGTCCAAAGCTCCTGTGAATATATTGGGCCCCACCAAGCCTAAACATATCAAAGCCACGAGGGTCTGAGCCCTCGGTAGTAGAGTTTCAGATGCAGTGTTACATTTGGCAGCTTTCAACTGGTGGATGCATCAAAGTTCACGTGATTGGGAACTTATCAGTCACGTGGCCTAATTGGTGTGGACCATTTTAGCTGGCCCAACATAAAAAGTATGCCGCAAATGTTGATCTACTAGTCACATCATGCCATTGTCGCTTAGCTATTCGTAGAATAACTCTTTTTTTTTTTAAAAAAAAAATTGTTTTAATAGAAGAAGAATGAAATTTAAGAAAATTTATTAATTTATACAATTACTTCTTCATTTGTTCATTTTTTCCTATTTTGTTGTAAAATATGCATGTAGTTTTTATGTATTCAAAGGGAAATGACGTGAGTGATCGACTATTACCTTTACCATATTTATTAGAAAATTTTCATTATTATTAGAAGTTTTACTAATTACATATATTGCGTTCGAGTGTACAAGTTTCTCTCTATATTTTTAACTACTCTCACTTTTAATTTTCAATCTAACACCTTAATAGTCAAACCATCCCATGTTTAGTTGTTAACCTACAAGATAACCAGGTGCTATTTAGCTTGCATATGTTTCTAGATGGCATATTAGATTTGACACGGTGTTACTAAGCATAGTACGAGTTACTCATAGTCAATATTCTCATACGAAGAGTGGGAATTATGATTCACAAGTCCGAAGAACATGTTAACCTTGTGCCATGATTGAGAAAAAAATCTTCTAACATTCAACAAAATCATAACACAGGGGAGGGGAGGATTCAATTGAGTGGTAATGTGAAAGGAGCTGTAAGTAAGAAATTTTAAATTCAAAATCTTTCATTTACTTGAAAAAAAAAAAACTCAATCATAACACATAGAGTAGAAAATCGAAATTTAGGCCATTTGGTGCTACATTGATAGGTTCTTCCTTTGTCCAACTAAACGTCTGGGGTCTCACTCATAACAATATCCTAATTAATCACTTAAAGATTTTTCCCATAATAAAGATTAAATATGAATAGGCTAGAGCTAAATATATATATATATATTATATATATATATATATGGTGTCAAATTGTTGGCAATGAATCAATGTCAATGTCATGAATGTTTCTACAACAACAACAATAATAATAATAATAATAATTGAAAGCTGTAATGTGACCTCAAACAGTTGCTGCTCTCATTGTCATGAGCAATGTCGAACAACTACAAGTTATAGATATTATGGTACCTGAATTCACTATTATCACCATCATCAATCGTTTCAAGAAAGAAAAGTTTAAGATATTTTGTGATATCAAGTTGTAGCTATTGTCATTTTCGTGGATGTCAACAACTATAGTTCAAGATAAAATGTGGGAAAAAAACAGATAATGAGGTTAACTACAATCACTTATGATAGGTTCATTTGTCAATTTCACCAGGTAGGGTTTATCTTTAATTTCTGTATGCTCAAGCGACACACAAATGTAAATTTGGATCTTCAAGTTGCATTTACTCTGCTAGCAACATTTTTTATGGCAAAGTTGTCAAATCCGTCCCGAAGCAGAATGATTAAGGGTCATTATCATAAGTATGATGATTATTAAGAGTCGCCATTATGGAGCACGCAAGTGATCACCGAGTCCTATGAAGTTTTGATGCAATCCTACTTTCTACCCTAAAGAATTTTGGATATGAAACGCACTCACAAGTATAGATCTTGCTCTACTTTCGCCGGACATCATATCCAGATATTCATTTGTTTTAGCCAGAACATTTAATTGGTTGGGGATTATATACATTAAAAGCTAAAAAAATCATTACTAGTTATTTAGACGAAATCCCAAATCGTTCTGATAATTAATCATGTGAACTTTTGAAGCATCTTTCCACAAAATTACCATGCCAATGCTTTGTGGCCAAAATTCTCTCTTCGTTCATCTTGTTCATAGAAAAGGGACTTGATTATGATGAGAAATGACTAATGATTTGGTTACAGTCAACTTCATATACTTACCCTTAAGAATGGTTTATTCTTCCATCAAACTTCAATAATTTACCTGGCATTATCAAATTGGGAAGAAACTTCCTTAACAATATATAGCATCATCCCGAATCCTCCCTTTTCTATTCTTTTTATCCTCACATGACTCCTAGTGACGAAAAAACTTCATACTGTCTATTTCATATCTTCTCATATCTTTCCGATTTGCAACTCCCAAGCCCAAACAAACTGTTAGTGAATCCACCCGCACCATAGTAAAATCAGGGCCGGGTTGGTATAAAACTTATACTAGTGAATAGTTGTAGTATTTTCTTCAGTATAATGGAAAGGCATATATTCGTACACGTAGACCAAAAGCAGCCCGGATCGGCCTTTATATAAACATGCATAAACAAGGGTTTTCAGCAGCATAGCAGCTAGTAGAGAAAACAGCCTGAATCCAGGTTTCTACTAGTCTCTTTCTCCCATTTCCTAATGGATCTGGCCGGTCATAAGTTGAAGATAAGCAGCCAATCCAAGATGCTGCTTTCGGCTGCATTTGCACCTGCACCTCCACTTCTTTCATTTACTTCTTTCAGTTCTTTGTCTCAATTATATATATTTTATCCATCTTTTTGTTTCCCTTCAATAATGCTTCATTAATTTACTTTTTTCTCCCTTGTTTTCCTTTTCATTTCATGAAAGTGAACTCTGGACGCAGCCAGCATAAAGGGCTACTACTAGTTCACTAATCCAGCAACAAATCCTCTACCATGACCCCCCCCCCCCATCTTTCCCCACTCGAAAATTATCATATATATTAAAGGGACGACAAAGAAGAGAAAGAAGAGGTGCGGGTGCAGATGCAGGTGAACGCCATCTTGGTCTAGATTTCTGTACTATGTATTTTGTTTTGGAACAAGCCAAATGTACTACGACATATGCAGCTTCCTTAGCCTCCAAGATATGTGGATCTATGAGCTTCAAAGACTAATGAGCTTTTGAGAAAGTCTTTGGCGGACATGCATTTAAACATCTGTAAGCCCTAGTATTGTGCACAAGCTTTTTCCGTACACGAATTTACTACAGAAGACTTTTTTCCCTGCGTATTTGTCTGTGTATGTGTATTTCGTATCGATTTGTTTGTTAATGCTACATTGGTTCCTCTAATATGTTACACCTTGTATGAGAAGTGATGAAAAGTCTAATACGGTACAGTAGAGCTCAAAATCATATTTTTATGATATGTGACATCTTTTTTTTCTCCGATATGTGTTTTCTTTAAGAAGTGAAAAGATTTGCAGTTTGAGTTAAAAAGCCGCTTATGTATACTAGGAGGCTAACATATCATGGACACATCATTTGATCAACCTGCAGTCATCACATGGTGAACCCCAATCATATAGGAGTACTTGTGAAATGTTGCTTTCCATCTAATGAACAAGCTTATCAGGATAGTCCTTTTTCTGTAACCTTGTCAACTGTATAGTAATACCAAAAAGCTGTGATGGGCCTAAATGTTTCTTAATTTAGGAGTTTAATTGGCTTACTTTTCAATGTGGGTAGAAATCCTCATAATTAATGACTATTCTTTGGGCCTTGAAACAGAAGAAATTTCAGCGGAACATTACCCGGCGTTTGTTACTTATGAAGTACAATTGGATTTCTGTCATTACTAGCAAAATTATGCTCGTCTAGGACACTCTTAAGCCTATTTTCTAATCCTCGAAATGGATCATGCGTCTTTCTGTTGATAGAAATCTGATATATATATGCATGGTTTAAATTATCATTATCTAGTTCCTTCATGTTCTTACGAACTTGAAGTCAATTTGTTTGGAGAAATTTTTTTGATTTCAAACATTTTGTGATTCTAAGACAGGCTAATTTTCCATATAACTATCGTAGCGGGTGACACTTTTGTAATAATTGTTCTCACACACGAATAAACACATAATTGCTAATGTTCGGACGTCTTTTCCAGTTAACAATTTGTAATTAAAAACAATTAAATGGTAGCTGTAATACTTCACAGTTTGTCATGTTTCCCCGACATTAGTGATGATTCACAAGTTCATGCGAGCAATTGTTCGAAGTAAACACATGGCTAGCTCGGTACAAAGCAATATGCAGTTCATTTGTAAGCTGGACAACAGGTTTGATCTTTATCCTGGATAAACAAATGATGAACATTTGAATGTCAGTCTAATACTTAACAAATTGGAAAATATGCATTTCGGACTATATGCTTAGTGATATGTTAGCCAGTCATGTGGAAGTTTTAACATGTGTAGTGTTTGACATAGTCCAATGACTTTGAAAGTCTACAATCCATTACACTTTTTATAGTCCGTGGTCATGTAATACGCTGACATACGAATGTCTGTTGAGCATAAATGTTAGTTTAATTTGAAACATCATTAAGTGAGTGAAAGTTTTGTTATGTCAAGTTCTTGGACTAGTGAGAATGTCGACTTTCCAGTTTGAAACTCAATAGGCCATTCCTCGGAGATCAGGCTTATATACGTACTTTGCAATATTTGACCCTCGATCGATAAAGATGTGTATGAATCCAATGACATTGTTTGTGTTGATATATAAAAACTCAATTACCACATTGACAATCACAAGAGATCAGTTTGTAGTAGAAGCTAGCCTAAAGAAGAAACGAAATGAGAAGCATATGCTTCTCCAAGAAAACCTCAAAAAGGATCGGTGCTTGTAATGAGTCATATGGTGGCCTGGTGATGAAAGAAAACTAAATTGACCATTGTGGTGGTGTTAGGTGTTCGATGATGGTTGCATGAGAAGAAATTAATCGTGATCTTTTGGAGCAATAGTTCAAAATCTGACCTAAGTTATGAATGAATCGTATTCTGCAATATTGCAAGTCCAGCTGATCGCTCGAATGTTGAACCTATGGTTTCATTATAAACAAACTTTCGGTCCGATTACCAATGGTTCACAAGACTATGCTTTCCAATATTGCAAACTAGAACCATTTTAAAAGCTTGAGCTAACAAAACAACAGGTACTGCTATGCATTGTTGTTTGATTCTTTCTTCATTTTGAAGTGACAATTAATCATTAACGTATAGGAAGTTACAGCTTTGCTTCAGGCATTTCTCGGAGTAAGAAAATACCTTTTATCGATCTTGTGGTTTTGCATTTCTGCAAGATGGATCTAAAAACATGCATGTATTTGCAGCTGCCGGATCAGTTGCGGCCTCTCCCATATGAATAAAGATGCCTGCTTACTGCCTCGGTGAATCCAATTAATTGGTAACTTTCACGTTTCATCAACAAATAGTCGATATTCTGATAAACGATGATGTTCGATCTTGACACACCTTACCAAAGTAGCGCTCAAGGAATTAGATTTATTGTCTATTCGACAACTAACACAGTATTATATACATTATCTGAAAATTAATCTGATTTTGAATTTAAAATCTAAATTTATATATTTTGTCATGCATTCAACCATGTATATATATATATATATTATCACTATATATATATAAGATTAACTCTTGGTTTTAAGGATAATTTATTACTTTTCCTCTCATTTTCATTTCATCTTTTTCTTTCAAATCCTATTAATATGTCAAACCCCCCTATAGTTTGGTCAATCACCATAACGGAGGTACTTTTTTTTTTTTTTTTCATTTTCACTTATATAAACCACACTAGGATTATATGAATCTTTTGAAACATTTGGAGGATCATGCGATAAACGGTAATTATCCTGATATTTTACAAGAAGAGAATGACAACAACATTCATTTTATTTTTCGCAACATAGCTACTAGCATTCTTTTGTAACATACAGCAGTTCTTTTATTTTATTTTTTTTTCCTTGGTATTTTTTGGTTGCTCATTCTCTCTCCTTTTGTTGATCCTCCTCCAAGGCATATCCACCATGATCTCCAAATAAGAACCTCGCAACTTCATCAGCAGAAATTTCCACATCGCTCGCACAAGTTAAAATAGGTTTAGACATTGAAATTGAACCAGACATTTCGTCTCCTGCAAAAATTTGGAAGGGATTGAAATTTGATTAGTACGATCGAGGTGGAAAGACGATGGCTGCAGGTGCAATAAAAGTCGGACGAGACAGATAAGGATATGGTATGACTTTAGGACCATTTTGATTTTTGGGGGCTGCAGGATTTGTGTTAAGAACAGCATCAACAGAGGCTTTGGCTTGGATCAAGAGCCACTCCACAGTTTGGCCAGCAGTACGATGACCAAGCCTTTTTCTGAGCTCAAACACACGATCAGCACATCCTATTGGCAAAACAATTCTTCTGTCTTTGCCACGCACGTTCGAATGTCGATCAGAAGAAGAAGCCTTTTTGCAAAAACTGTTCATTCTCGGACCTACAAATTTGGAGGGCTTTGGCACATTTGATGGGGCGTTTGAAGAGACCATTTTCTGAATCGATTAGCTTAAGCTTCTTTGGTGCTCGAGTATTATTGGCAGGAGAAGTAGTAGTTATATTTATACAAGTACAATGAGGTTGAATTTGCAATGCAATATGACATCAATTCATATTCATATTTTCTTTTTATTAGTATACTAAAATAATAACGTGCTGACATGCACAAAGATTTGTTCCCTTTTATGCAATTGGAAAGGAAATCCAGTATTTGGAGTGATATATTTATAGAGCAAGTAATAAATGTCTGCTAATTGTTGTATATGTTAAAATGCATCCATCCTGGATTGGTACATTAAATTCTTTATACATTATCAAAAAGGAAGGAACCCCTTAATTATGGCAGGTATAATAATTAAAATTAGAATTGAAATTTGAATGTGTATCAAGAAAAAGAAATAGCGTTGAACGCTTTGACAATTAATTCATTACCTCTGCAAAAGAGGCTTTGCCCTCTCACTATGAACGTAAAATGCAATAATTATATGAATATTTGGGTTTTAATACTGTGCATTTAATTCTTTAGATACTGAAACTGCAATAAAACATCTACCTCAGTACGTAGTTTTTTTTTTTTTTTTTTCCTTTTTTGGTGCATATTGGTAGTGTAAGATTCGATTACCAAATTCGATTAGTTTATTCATGCATGTAATTAGCTGTAACTAGCTAGACCCACACTTGAACAAAGTTTAATACAGTTAAGCTTTAGATTATGCTGACATTTTTGCAGCCCTGCATCTATTGCTTCAAAGATTCTTCTTTTAGTCTATTACAATTCGAAAACTTTCTTAGTTTATATTTTAGATTTTTTTTTATTATTGAATGCCCAATATATCCAACCTACCATGTGAATGCGCGACGCATTAGTAATTATTACCTTCTCGTGTGTTTATATCCTTTCCTTAAATAACTTTATTTGTTTAAAAAAAAATTTAGCTCATGAATTATATCTTAACAAGCACCTGGTGGTTTAAAGGTCTTAAACAAAGTTTGTGCTATGTTCATACTGATAGTAAATTGGACGTTGGAAATTAGTGGTAGCTGCTTCCGGATAAGCAAACATTTTGTTTCTTTGATTTCAAGCTTTAGATCCAAGAAAAATATTCTATGGTTGGGGCAATAACGTACATGCAGATATTTGATATGAATTGACACAACACTGACTAGATTCAGGTTAACCTGGATTTCATCAGGTAAAAAAAAACACTAAATCAAGAATAAAACCTCCAAATTCAAGTTCTCGCGTGATTTTTCCCCAAGTATATATACATCTTGATATCATAGGTATTAGGACAAGTCGTCTGGCCCTGCTTTTCTTGCAGAAGAGAAGGAATGGAGGGAGGATGCAGATAGGACTACAAAATATGCAGAGCATTGGCAGAAAAAAAGAGAGGGGGCCGCCTAAAAGAATGAAGAGAAGACATCAGTCATCAAGATTCTACAACAAATGAGATGAATTGTTCTGTTTTATTACAGCATTAGCACTCATAGAATAGTGTCATTCTTCTGTTTAGCACGGACCATGCAATAAACATGCAACAGAATCCTAAACCTTTGATCTCACTTTTTCAATAAGTTCTCTTCTAAGAATCTTGCCTGAAGCTGACTTTGGGACGCTGTTAATGAATGTCACCCTTCGCAGTCTTTTGAAAGGCGCAACCTAAAAAATTTGAGAGAGACAAAAAGAAAGAAGGTTATAGCAGGTGCTCCCTGTAAAACAAAAATGCAGACTGTATTTCCCCCAGAGACGATATCTAAAAAATTCCAACATTTTGAGCATCGATAAACAGTTATAGTAGTAGCGTAAGCAAATGGAAAGTCAAGCATGCGAAAGAACCGAACAAGTAAGAAACTACATATTGCCCCTTAAATCTCATGAATTAAAGATCTCTCTCTCTCAATATGCAATTCATCATCCTCAAAATGACAAAGTGGTTTCTCTCCACTCTTTGTCCTGGCCAAGTCGAAACTGAGTGGTGAAAGTTATTTTAAAAGATTAATCAAAATGATCCAAGATCCCGCTTGCTGATATTGAAAAAAGGCAAGTCAACCAGGGAGCTTCGTTGGTGACAATCAAGCACTCAATCCGTGCACAGACACCAACACTGCAGATAATCCCGCCAGAAACTGCTCCTAACCCATCCCGCAGATCTAAGTGTTCCCAATTTGATAACATGAGTGTCTATAGAGCCAGAACAGTCCGAGGCATTTGTTGCTAGGTCCTCGAGAATCTTTACTGGCTCTTGAGCACATTTTCTTTTCTTCAAATTTTTTAAACAACATTATGAGTTTACTTGCAGATAATATGACACTAAAAGCCTTTTTTAACTAATTATACCTGATCTGCAATGTACTTTTTAATATCTTCTTCAGTCAGTGAGCTATTGGGAGAGCGGACAACATAAGCAACTGGGACTTCACCAGCTTCAGCATCAGGAAATCTATACATTTGAATCAATTTTTTGGTGAATTTGTATAACCCAAATATTATGTAATACTTCTACAAGAAAAACTCTTGCACAAAAAGTTCTGCTTACAACTACTTACGGGATGACAACAGCATCTAATATTCAGGGTGAGAAACTAGCAGCCCCTCAAGCTCTGCAGGTGCAACCTGGGAAAAATGGACGAACGATTATTGAGACAAAAGATGCCTTAACAATCCAGTGCTATTGATTTTCTAATGATCTGTGACCTGAATTTCAATGTTAATATATCCACTGTATCTGTCTTTTGTTTCTGCTCAATGGATTCTTCCTGCAATTACTTACCTGAAAACCTTTGTACTTGATGAGTTCTTTAATACGATCAACTACATATAGCTGTCCTTCCTCGTCAAAATATCCAAGATCACCAGTATGCACCCATCCCAGTTTATCGATGGTGAGCTTCGTGGCTTGTGGGTTGTTGAAATAACCTGAAAATATCAAATAGACAATTAACACAGATGAACGATGATATGAAAATAGCACTGACATGAATAATGTTATATACAATAGTAAAGTAGCACACATGCACAGTTTGAATGCTAACAAGTGTGCTGAAATACCATCGGCACTTAATTTGTAAAACAAGTGGCCACTAGTCCCTCAAATTTACTATAGATGTATGAAGCAATCCGTGCACCTCAAACACACAAGCCAAACCTCTAGGACACCACTTCAGAACCAGTTACTAAAATTCTACAGAACACATACTGAGACAAACTAAGGAAAAGGAAAGAATACACTTTGTGAATTGAAACCTCCATTCTTGTATCATTAAATGTAAAAGATGGTAGTCCACTTTGCTCCAGTATAGCTTATTACCAAAAATGCTAATTTGAAACTCAGGATCTTTAAAGATTATAATCATTTATAGCTCCAACATTAGTTTCATTTACAAAGATTAGGCATCATTAGAAATTGGAGCTTTTGCCTATCTTCATCCTAAGAACAACTAATTTAAGTTAAATATTAGATGTAAAAACACAGTTTTACCTTGCATCATGTTTGGTCCCCGAACCCAGATTTCACCTAACTTGCCTGGAGGAAGAGGCTTCGATTTCTCCACACTAACTATTTGAGCTTCAACTCCTGGAACAAGCATTCCTGCTGAGCCAGAGTGTCTAGCGCCTAAATTTGAATTCTCCACTGAGACGATCCCACAAGTCTCTGTCATACCATAGCCCTGAAATGAGAGAAGACTCTTGTACTATAACACAGTTACCCAACCCAAGAAACTCATACAATGCCAAACAAATGCAAAAAAAGGCTTGATACACCATCTTTTGGAGGAAATGAATATTTGTTAGCTATCCAAATTCTCTCACGACTAGAATGTCTTTATAGATGAACTTGAGATGCAGCTATGAGCAAAGGCTGACTTCAACTTCTATGTGACTTTTTATGAGTATATCTATCTATTTCTGAGAAAAAAAAATAAACTTGAAACTGTAGAGCGCGAAGTTATTCAATCTGAAGATCTCTGAAATAATTATCCACCTCAAGACCAATTTAATGTATCCAGTTGTATTGACTTCAATTCATTTTCAGCCAGTAAGTTAATTAGAATGAATTGTCCTCAACATGCAAGAATTATAAACACAAACTATGACCACTGATTCAATAGTACAATATTTAAAGGTTTCGACGATTTTGACAATTTTCTAGATGACTTAACTATCAATTTCACACAGTTCACATCCATATCTTTTAATCTCAGGATCAGGTGGACTAGAACTTTGATCATCAATCAACAAAGATATGTAAACTATGCAAAAGCTTAATGAAGGATCTAATCTTCTCTTTATGATAAAAAAAAATTCTCACAAGCTCATCATACTACATGCTTTCGTAAGTATCAACAAGCAGAAAGATATATGTCCTATTAGGTATACACCATAGTACAAAGTAAGAGTATCTTGACTTCTTGTACTCAGCACATCCAAATACTTCTTGTGTTGGTATATCTAAATATCTCTCGACTTCTTGTGTTTGCTAGGTCCAAATATTCCTTCATTCATTTTCTTTATTATATCCAAGCACTAAAGGTTTATTTACTAACTCTGATGTCTTTTCTAAACTTGTTCCTTTGCTAAGATACTTAATCATTGACTAACTACTAGTACATCAAGCATGTTATCAGACAATGATTCACCGATAACAGCATCTTAACATTCTCAGCCGAAAAAACATAGACTAAGGAACCAAAATTTGAGCAAAAGCTTCTACCTGCAAAACCAGAGCATGAGGGAAATTTTTAGCACATTCTTGCATCAATTCCCTCCCCAGTGGTGCAGCCCCTGATCCAATCTGCTTCAAGGATGACAAATCATACTTCTTAACCACACTATTCTTAGCCAAAGCTAATATGATTGGTGGCACAACCCACATGTGAGTGATCCTGTGCTTTTCAACAGCTTTGAAAATCATTTCCAGATCAAACTTTCCCATTGAAACAACAGCATTACCCCTCTGCAGCTGTGCATACATGATAACAGCAAGCCCAAAAACATGAAACATAGGCAGAACACACAAATACACATTATGCAATTCCCCTGCAAGTTCTTGATCAGCAGTCACCATCAATGAGGAAGCAATAAAATTCCCATGCGTCAAGACTACACCTTTGCTTATACCAGTTGTCCCAGAAGAGTACAACAATGCAGCAGTG